GCGGGCGGCAGCACTGGGGCCTTCGGCGGAGTTCCTATGGGGCCACGAAGCGTGTGAGGGGTGTGCCGAATTCTAGACGCTTCGCGTATCCCCACCAGCCCGTCCAGAAATGAGCCCCAGAGGAGTGGAGGTGATGAGGGAAGCGGGGGAGCATGCAGAAGAACAAAGAGCGGGTTAAGCCGCCATACGTTCCAAGAGGGGGAGGATGTAGGAGGAGTCGTCGTCGTCGGAGTAGGAGGAGGAAGACGAGGAGCAGGAGGAGGAGCAGGAGGAGGAGGGGGAGGAGGAAGAGGAGGAGGAGGAGGAGGAAGATGAGGAGGAGGAGATGGAGGAGGGCGAGGACGAGGAGGACGAGAAGGAGGAGGAGGAGGAGGAGAAGGAGGAGGAGGAGGAGGGGGAGGGGGAGGAGGGAGGAGGGAGAAAAAGAGGAGGAGGAGGAGGACAATGGCGAGCTTGGGGGCCTCTTGGGCCGTCTTTGGGGCCTCTTGGCGGTCCCGGGGGCCTCTTGCGTATCTCGGGGAGCTTCTTGTGTCCTTTTGGGAGCTCTTGGAGGCCTCTTGGAGGCCTCTTGGGGGCCTCTTGGGGCCTCTTGGGGCCCTCTTGGGGCGCTCTTGGGGCGCTCTTGGGAGCCTTCGGGGCGCTCTTGGGGCCATCTTGGAGGAGATCTATCAAGAAGGGGGGGTTGCTTATTAGCGTTGCCCCTCTAGAGTGCCTCGAATCGCCTCTTGGGCCTTCCTAGAGGCCAAAATCCGTCCAAAACCTAAGGAAAATCAATGTTTTTTGCTTTCTCGCCTTTTCGCTCTTGGAGCCGTCTTGGGCCATCTTGGGAGCATCTTGGGGCCTCTTGGGGGTCTCTTGGGAGCCTCTTGGGGGCATCTTGGGGGCCTCTTGGGGCCTCTTGGGGCCCTCTTGGGGCGCTCTTGGGGCGCTCTTGGGGCGCTCTTGGGAGCCTTCGGGGCGCTCTTGGGGCCATCTTGGAGGAGATCGATCAAAGAAGGGAGGGTCGTATATTAGCGCTGCCCCTCTAGAGTGCCTCGAGTCGCCTCTTGGGCCCCCCAAGAGGCCAAAATCCTTCCAAAACCTAGGTAAAATCAATGTTTTTTGCTTTCTCGCCTTTTCGCTCTTGGAGCCGTCTTGGGCCATCTTGGACTCTCTTGGGGCCTCTTGGGGGTCTCTTGGCAGCCTCTTAGAGGCTTCTTGGGGGCCTCTTGGGGTCTCTTGGGGCCCTCTTGGGGCGCTCTTGGGGCGCTCTTGGGAGCCTTCGGGGCGCTCTTGGGGCCATCTTGGAGGAGATCTATCAAAGAAGGGGGGAGCCTCAATTAGGCTCGCCCCTCTAGAGTGCCTCGGATCGCCTCTTGGGCCCCCCCAAGAGGCCAAAATCCTTCCAAAACCTAAGGAAAATCAATGTTTTGTGTTTTCTCGCCTTTTCGCTCTTGGAGCAGTCTTGGGCCATCTTGGGCGTCCCAACGCGTCGCGGAACGCCCCGTCCAGGTCAGTGGGGAGGGGTAAGGGGAGGGGTAAACCCCTCCCCGAAGGGAAAGAAGGGGGGTTGGCAGAGGAAACTCTCTAGACCACCTACGCCCTAAAGGGCTGGTGGGATTGGGTGTGGGTGACGCATGCGGGCGGCAGCACTGGGGCCTTCGGCGGAGCTCTTATGGGGCCACGAAACGTGTGAGGGGTGTGCCGGATTGGGTGTGGGTGACGCATGCGGGCGGCAGCATTGGGGCCTTCGGCGGAGCTCCTATGGGGCCACGAAACGTGTGAGGGGTGTGCCGAATTGGGTGTGGGTGACGCATGCGGGCGGCAGCACTGGGGCCTTCGGCGGAGCTCCTATGGGGCCACGAAACGTGTGAGGGGTGTGCCGAATTGGGTGTGGGTGACGCATGCGGGCGGCAGCACTGGGGCCTTCGGCGGAGCTCCTATGGGGCCACGAAGCGTGTGAGGGGTGTGCCGAGTTCGGTGTGGGTGACGCATGCGGGCGGCAGCACTGGGGCCTTCGGCGGAGCTCCTATGGGGCCACGAAACGTGTGAGGGGTGTGCCGAATTGGGTGTGGGTGACGCATGCTGGCGGCAGCGCTGGGGCCTTCTGCGGAGCTCCTATGGGGCCACGAAGCGTGTGAGTGGTGTGCCGACTTGGGTGTGGGTGACGCATTCGGGCGGCAGCACTGGGGCCTTCGGCGGAGCTCTTATGGGGCCACGAAGCGTGTGACGGGTGTGCCGAATTGGGTGTGGGTGACGCTTGCGGGCGGCAGCAAGGAGGAGGGGGCAGAGGAGGAGAGGAGAGGAGAGGAGAGGAGAGGAAAGGAGAGGAGGACGCGGGGACCGTTTCTTCAAAACGAGGACCCAACACCACAGGATGGTTGGGAACAAAAACGGGATGCCGCTCCGCGCTTTCTTTGGGGGGGAGGTCCAGGAGAAGCACAAAACTTGATTCTGGGGTAGGGAGGAGGAGGAGGAGGAGGAGGAGGACGGGGGAAGAGAGGAATGAGGAGAGCGGAGCAACGCGGAGGAGAATGAGGAGTCCCTTCCCCCTCCAAAAATTAGCTTGGCGAAGAACCCAACCATATGCATTTGTCAGTACCGCAGCTGCGGGTTTCATCTTCAAAGGAACTCCCCATAGGACCACGGAACGTGTGAGGGGTGTGCCGAGATGGGTGCCACTGGGGCATTCGGTGAAGCTCTCTATGGGGACATGAAACACGCGCGGGGCGTGCCGACATGGGTGGCGGAAACGCATGTGAGGGCCGCCACTGGGGCCTCCAGTTGAGTTCCCTATGGGTCCCCGAAACACGATGCTGCTGCGGGCGTGGGCTGGGATGGGTGGCGGAGACGCATGTAAGCGCCGCTACTGGGGCTTTCGGTGGAGCTCCCTATGGAGCCACGAAGCGCGTGAGGGGTGTACCGGGATGCGTGGCGGGGACGCATGTGAGCGCCGCCATTGAGGCCTTCGGTGCAGCTCCCTACGGGGCCACGAAACGTGTGATGGGTGTGCCGAATTGGGTGCGGGTGGTGACGCATGCGGGCGGTGCCACTGGGGCCTTCGGTGGAGCTCCCTATGGGGCCACGAAACCTGTTGTTGTGAGGGGCGTGCCGGGATGGGTGGCGGGGACGCATGTGAGCGCGGCCGCTGGGGCCTTCGGTGGAGCTCCCTATGGGGCCACGAAACGTGTGAGGGGTGTGCCGAATTGGGTGTGCTGACGCATGCGGGGCAGCGCTGGGGCCTTCGGTGGAGCTCCCTATGGGCCACGAAGCGTGGTGTGCGTGTGCATGCGGGCGGCAGCATTGGGGCCTCGGCGGGCTCCCTATGGGGCCACGAAACGTGTGAGGGGTGTGCCGAATTGGGTGTGCGTGACGCATGCGGGCGGCAGTGCTGGGGCCTTCGGCGGAGCTCCCTATGGGGCCACGAAGCGTGTGCGGGGTGTGCCGAATTGGGTGTGCGTGACGCATGCGGGCGGCAGCACTGGGGCCTTCGGCGGAGCTCCCTATGGGGCCACGAAACGTGTGAGGGGTGTGCCGAAATGGGTGTGCGGGGCGCATGCGGGCGGCAGCACTGGGGCCTTCGGTGGAGCTCCTATGGGGCCACGAAACGTGTGAGGGGTGTGCCGAATTGGGTGTGGGTGACGCATGCGGGCGGCAGCACTGGGGCCTTCGGCGGAGCTCCCTATGGGGCCACGAAACCTGTTGTTGTGAGGGGCGTGCCGGGATGGGTGGCGGGGACGCATGTGAGCGCGGCCGCTGCGGCCTTCGGCGGAGCTCCCTATGGGGCCACGAAGCGTGTGAGGGGTGTGCCGAATTGGGTGTGCGTGACGCATGCGGGCGGCAGCACTGGGGCCTTCGGCGGAGCTCCCTATGGGGCCACGAAACGTGTGAGGGGTGTGCCGAATTGGGTGTGCGTGACGCATGCGGGCGGCAGCGCTGGGGCCTTCGGCGGAGCTTCCTATGGGGCCACGAAGCGTGTGCGGGGTGTGCCGAATACGCATGCGGGCGGCGGCACTGGGGCCTTCGGTGGAGCTCCCTATGGGGCCACGAAGCGTGTGAGGGGTGTGCCGACTTGGGTGTGCGTGACGCATGCGGGCGGCAGCACTGGGGCCTTCGGCGGAGCTCCCTATGGGGCCACGAAACGTGTGAGGGGTGTGCCGAATTGGGTGTGCGTGACGCATGCGGACGGCAGCAAGGAGGAGGGGGAGGAGGAGTGAGTGAGGGACGCGGGGCGCTGTCTCTTCAAAACGAGGACCTAGCACCACAGGATGGTTGGGAAAAACACGGGATGCCGCCCCGCGTTTTTTTTTTGGGGGGGGGAGGTGAGGTGCAGGAGAAGCAAAAAGCTAGATTCTGGGTGAAGGAGGGGAGGAGGAGGATGAGGAGGACGAGGAAGAGGAGGAGTAGGAAAAGGTGAAGGAGGAGGAGGGGAAGGAGAAGGGGAACACACCACCCGAAAGGCGAGGTACTTCACAATCCCCCGTTCTCGAGGAGGAGGAGAGGAAGAGAGGACGGGCATGGGCCAGGAGCAGGGGAATGATGATTTTTGAAGAAGGAGGGTGGAGGGAGGAGGCAGAGGAGGAGGATCACAACGACGACGACAGAGAAGGGAGATGAGGATGTTAAGGAGGACGAGTTTGATAATGACGCGGACCTTCTCCTCTTCTTCTTCTTCTTCTTCCTCTTCTTCCCTCCTCCCTCTTTCCTCCTCTCCCCCCCTCCTCCCCCATCCCCGTGATGCCTTTTCCTCCGCCTCCTTCTGGCCAAGCTCCTCCGAGGGAGAGAGTGATGAGAGGGAGGGGTCGCAGGAGGAGCAAGAGGAGGACGAGGAGTGATGGGGAAGAGAAGCAGGGCCAGCGTCCTGGAGACGCCGGCGCCTACATCATCATGGCTCCAGGGAGCAGCAGCAGGATGAGGATTTTCCGACACGGACCATGCCGCGCGATAGGCCATCTCTGTCGGGGCGGTCGGCGCGGCGGCATCGGCGGCGGCGGTGGTGGCGTTGGGTGCGGGCCGCCGAGGTCGCGCGGCGGTGGGGCGGCCGAGGGCCCCGCCATGGTCCGTTCGCGGAGCTGAGGGAGGTGGACTGTTGGTGATGTTGATGCTGATGCTGATGCTGATGCTGCTGATGATGATGATGATGATGCTGGTGATGCTGCTGCTGCTGATGATGATGTTGATGCTGGTGATGCTGATGCTGGTGATGCTGATGCTGTTGCTGATGATGATGATGGTGATGATGATGGTGATGGTGATGATGATGGTGGTGGCGCTGCGCATGAGATGGACTATGTTGATTGTGTTGGTCGGGCTGGTTATGGCAAGTGTGCTGGATGGTGGTAATGATGCTGACGATGGTGGACGATAGCGACTATATGACGATACCGGTGATGATGGCGATGGCGACGACACCGATGTGGTTGACGATGATGATGATTATGATGTTGATGGTGCTTGTGATGCTGATGATGGTGGTGATGATGATGCTGATGCTGATGCTGATGCTGATGGTAATGATGATGATGCTGATGAGGATGATGATGTTCATGCCGATGTTGGGAATGAACATGGCGATGTTGACGAATATGCTGACGATGGTGATGATTATGTTTGATGATGTTGATGAGGATGAGGATGAGGCTGATAATGGTTATGATGATGCTGCTGATGATGATGATACTGATACTGGTGATGATGATGGTGATGATGCTGATGATGATGACAATGTTGATGATGATGATGCTGATGATGATGGTGATGATGATGATGATGATGATGCTGATGTCGATGATGTTGCTGCTGATGATGATGATGATGATGATGCTGGTGATGCTGCTGATGATGATGCTGCTGATGAGGATGCTGCTGCTGCTGCTGCTGCTGAAGATGATGATGATGATGATGATGATGATGATGATGAGGATGAGGATGAGGATGATGATGATGATGATGATGATGATGATGATGATGATGATGATGATGATGATGATGATGATGATGATGATGATGATGATGATGATGAGATGATGATTGCCTCCGTGCGCTCGAGCAATTGTGGCTCGGGCGGGGGCGATGACTCTAGCAGCAGAGAGCCAAGCGCATCGCTGGCAGCCGTAGGCGGCGGGATCAACGACGGACACGGCGGGACCGGGATCACCTCCCAGTTTTGCTGGAGCTGGCGTACCATACGCGCGTGACGGAGCCAGTGGAGACGCGCATCGAGCAGCCGAAGTGCGACCCGACGGCGATGATTGGTGATGAATGCTGTTACCCCCCGCACCTCGAAGGCGGAGCACCTGCCTGCGGGGCTTGGCGAAGGGGTTCGATGAGAATGAGGAGAGCTTCGCGGCGCCGGCGGAGGCAGGAACTCCCGACGGGTACTTCGAGTTGCTGGAGCCGGTGATGCTGGGGGCGGGCGTGGCCCACTTCGCCAAGGCACCGATGGTACAATAGCGACGAGATCCCGGGGAGCGGCGACGAGACTTACTTCGGCAGCGGGCTCAGGACGGGCAGACTCGACGCCTGCGAAGCGGAGCTGGTGCGGCTCCAGGCTGAGCTGAAGCGGGTCTCCAGCAGGCTGCAGAGTATGCAACGAGATGGGGAGCGAGAGCTGAAAGAGTATTACGTCGAGCAGGTGGAAGGGAGTTGGAGAGAAGGGCGCTTCGTTGACGCGATGAAGTTCTCGAGGCTAGCGACCAGCTGCAGATTCGGAGCAAAGCAGCGAGACGGACAACGCGTCGGGCTTCTACCCACGGACGGAGAGGAGTGGATGCAGGTACGGCGCCTCCCCCTCCACAACAGAAGCACGTAAACAGCCTGGGGTTCATGTGTTCCCCTTCACCCTCCCTCCGCTCTCCCCCATGTTCTGCCCCTTTCCCACCCTGCGTGTCAGTGTAGTCACCGTCGTCGTCGCCGCCACCGCCGCCGTCGCCGCCGTCGTTGTCGTCGTCGCCGTCGTCGTCGTCGACGTCGTCTTCGTCATCCTTTTTCTCCTCGTCGTCCTCGTAGCCGTTGCCGCTGTCCTCGTGCCGCCGCCGCAGCGCCGCCGACGCTGCAATCGCGGCAGCGGCGACCAGGTCAGACAGCAGCGGCGACGGCGGCGATTGGCGACGGCGGCGACAAGCGGCGGCGGCGACTGGCGGCCGCCGGCTCCAGTTTGCCGAGGAGCTGCGGGCCGCCCGTGCGAGTGGACGGGCGCGCCTCGGCGCCGGCGCCTTCCAGGCGCGGCGCGGCCCTTTGCGTCCCTCGGCTGGAGCGGCCCTCGGCGGTCTTCGGCGGTCCTCGACGGCACCCGCGGCGGCCCCCCCCCGCGGATTCAGGATTCCAGAGGTGCGAGGAGGCGCTTCGCAGTTCTACAGAACTCCAGGCGCCATGTTTCGGATCCGGGTGATTTGGTGGGGCAGAATGGCGGGCCATGATCTGGACCTTGCTGGGAGGGCTCATGCCTCCGACGTTGTGGACACCCAGAGGTCTGCACCCCTTCCCTGGGACAGGCTTTTCATTCTGAGCTGCTGTTGACGGCCCCACAGCCCAATAGGGGCCGCCGAAAACCGGGAATGGGCAAACAACAGAAAACGCCGTCGCGATTTTTCAAGACGCGAGGATGTGGGAGAGGTCCAGGGATGTGTTTTGCGTGGATGTCTCCCCTCCCCCCCCCCCCCCTGCGGGGGGCTCTCGGCGCCTCCCCCCCCTCTCCCCCAGCGGCTGTCGGGATATGCAGGGCGAGGTGCCGACGGCCCCGTCGAGGGACCCAGAGAACTCCGACGTCTGGACCGAATTCGGAGACCTCCAACCCAGAGACCTGGTTGTCCACCTCCCTCCTCCTCCCCCCCCTCCCCCCTGCACCACTATGACAGCACTCTCTGACTCCCCAGGCGAACGCTGCGCGGACCGAGGCCACGCGCCACCCGCTGAGCCACCATTCCTGCACCGCTTTCCGGTAGTAACGCGCTGGTTCGCCTGTTTGTCGCAACTCCCGGCTCCTCTCAAACGCCCCGCTACGTCTCTTCACGCATGTGGTAGACGATGTCCTGTAGCGCCAGGCCACATCTTGACGAGACTCTTATGGCCCCTGAGCTCCGTCTCTGCCAGGGTGATTGTGGTTTTCTTGGCTTCGCCTCTGTGGAAAAGCGCACTTGCCAGTGCCTCAGCGATTTCCCGCAGGCGGTTTCGTCCTCTATGAGCACACTGCACAATTCCACGGTGCCCGCGTGCGTCATGTGGTCCTTGCATTCGCACCAGTCGACGAATTAGTCGAGGTTCCCCGCGAATACCATATTCTCCCCACTCCGCAAATTGTCGCCGCAGTCCAATGTAGCTGATGACATGTTTGCACCACTGGTCGCCTCACTGCCCGCTGCCACTGCTGGTTCTTCTCGCACGTGCTGGCCGACGCGTGTAGTTGATGACGTCTTTGAGCTCTCCTCCTGTTCCTCTGTCTCATCTGGCATTATCGCGTCGTCCTCCTCCGACTCGTAGCTCTCCTGCAAGGGATTATCGTTGCTACCCTCGACCTCGTCGTGACCATCGTGCGACACAGCTCTTGCAGTCCCCTCTCTCGTAGCGCCACTGCTGCCATCGCTGTCCCTTCTCGCACCGCCGAGCTGCCACTGCCCCTGAGCTGCCAATACCGTCCCTCTTCGAGCTGACACTGCCGTTCCTGAGCTGCCACAGTCGTTTCCCTTCGTTGCCGGACATATCCTTCTCCTCCGTCGCCTCCTTCGTCGGTTGGGCCTTCTTTATCTTCGTGATGAGCAGATGTGCGATATCTCTGTGGCCGCGTTCGACAGCAACAAATCTGCAGACATTCGCCAGGACGTGCTTGAGGAGATCAGGAAAGCAACCGATTTAAGAGACATTCTGGGGCGGACGGTGAAACAATTCATTTCGCTGGCCTGGTTGCTCCCACAATAGAGGAGGGGGGGAGCAGGCCGAAGGAGGACGGACAACCCTGGGCTGTCTGGGGGGCCGGGGGGGGGGGCCCTCACGGGCTGACAATTCAAAGACGGAGAGGTGAGCATTCGGAGCCGCAGGGGCCGAAGGAGCTTGGCCGACGGAGGGCGGACGATCCCGGGCTGTCTGGGAGGCTGCGGGGTCTGGCAGCCACTTCCTCCTCCAGGTAGGGCCCACCCTGCGCTGGACCTCGGGATCTTCACTCCTCCTGCAGACCTGCAGCTCCAGACCAAGGACGCGCTGCTCTAACACGGTCTTCTCCTCCATGAGCCTCTTCACAAGGTTCTCGGCCGACTCCGCGGCCCGCACGCGCCGCTGCCGCCTGGTTGCCGCGCTGCCTGCCCACTGCTTCTCGTCACACTCCAGGGGCGAATCCCGCAGCCATCCCAAGCGAACACCCTGCAGCCGGCATTATGAGCTGGGCATATAGAGCCAAGACGTTGAGGGTGAAGCGGTTTGAGCCAAAACGGCTACGGACCTCCTCCTCCTCCTGCTGCTGCTGCTCCTCCTCCGCCTCCTCGCCCTCCCCCTCCTTCCCGCCTTCCCTCCTCCCCCCCCGCACTATCCTCCTCCACCTCCGCCTCCTCCTCCTCCTCCTCCTCCTCCTCCTCCTCTTCCCTTCCCTCCTCCATCCTGCAGCTGCGAAAATACAGCGTCGACGCTGTGCGTCTGCAGCGCCGCGGGTGGGCAAGCGAGCGCATGGGGAACGAATCTAACATCAGTTTGAACGCGACGGCAGGAATATTGCCAAGGGGGCAGAGGATTATATAGTCAGTTCTGGCGGCTGGACTTATAAGCATCAATTTTTTGAGGCCCCCGGAAGGAGGGGGTGGGGGTGGGGAAATGTTGTTAATCGTTTGTTCCCAGTAGGTCACGTCAGACCGGTAGGTCCCGCAGCCAATAGGCCACGCCCGCTGCGTCACCGTGTACGACCGCCTCCTGGAGAACGTCCGCGTCCAGCTCGAAACGGGACGCTCTAGGCCGTCTAACTTCGCAGCTGATGGTATCCGGCTCATGCTTCGCCTTACCTCAGTTCTCGTAGCCGGTGGTATCGGGCTCGTGCTTCGCTGTGCCGCCCTCGTAGCTGTTGGCATCGGGCTCGCGCTTCGCGTCTTCATCCTCGCGGATGATGCCGTCGGGCGCGCGCTTTGTAGCACCGCTCTCGTAGTTGATCGCGTCAGGCTCGTGCTTGCCCCAGCTTGTAGCCGAGTCACCCTCGTAGCTGATGGCATTGGGCTCATGCGTCACGACACCGTTCTCGTAACTGCTGGCGTCGGGCTCTTGCTTCGCCGTGCCGCCTTCGGAGCTGATGGCGTCAGGCTCGTGCTGCATGTCCCCTCCGTCATGGGTGATGACGTCGGGCTCGTGTTTCATGTTGCCATCTCTGCCTTCTGACGCTGCTGCCACCGCCAGCCCTTCTCGCACAACACCTGTCGGCCCTTTCGCGCCAATGCCAGCCCTTCTCACACCATTGCTGGCCCTTCTCGCACCACTGCTGGCCCTTCACACACCACCACTGGCCCTTCTCGAAACACTGCCGGCCTTTCTCTCTCCGCTGCCGCACTGTGTGTTGCTATTGTTCCCCCGGTCATGCAGCTGATAGCGTATTGGGCTCCTCCTCTTCCTCCTCCTCTTCCTCATCCTCACCACCGCTTGCCGCCACTACAGATTCTCCTGTTATCTGCCTGTGTGCGATTGTCTGCCGCTTCGCGAGGACGGCCTCGCGCGCACGTTTGGCCATCTGGAGGGCGTCGGCGTCCGACAATGCCAGCACTTTGCGCATATTTTGGCTCGCGTATGTAGCTGATGACGGTTGGTTTTTATCATTCTCGCCATTGACCGCTGCCATTGCCAACTCTTCTCACACACGCAGGCCCGCGCCTGTAGCTGATGGCGTCTGGATTTTGTTCCTTTGGCCATTTACCCTGCCACTGCTGACCTTTTTCGCAGGCACGGGCTCACGTGTGTTGCTGATGACGTTTGGGTTCTGTCCGCTGGCACCGCCGCTTCTTCTCACGTGTGCGGGCCCACGCCTGTAGTTGAGGAGGTCTGGTTACTGTCTCTCACGCCTCCGCAAGCTGCCACAGCAGACTTGTCTCGCACAGACTGGCACACACACACGTAGCCGAGGGCTGCAGACACTCCCGGCATTCCCCGCACAGATGGGCATACCCACGCAGTTGGTGACAGCTGATTTCTGCGACCGGTGGCAACTCGCACGCTCTGGTTCTAGCAGGTGGATCGGCCCCGCTTCTCGCGCGTGCAGGTTCTGCCGTCGCTCCTCGCACGCTCTGTTTCTGCTACTGCCTGCTACCGCCTGCCAGTGCCTGACACCGCTGCCACTGCCTGCCACTGCCTGCGACTGCCACCGCTGCCGTCCCTTTTTTTACCGCGCCACTGCAGGTCTGTAGCTGGTGATGTGGCGGCAGCCTTCTCGCAGCCACCCGACTCTTTTTCATCCCAAGCGTCTTGAGCCTACTCTTCTTTGTCCCAAGCCTCTTGAGTCCACTATTCTTTAGACTTTAGACCCGGGCTGCCAACTGCCCGCCGTCATCGCAGCATGCAGTGTATGTGATGGTGTTTGGGTAACGTCACCGCCATCCGTGCTTTTGTCAAACATCTGGCCCAGCAACATTCGGGATAATTTCTGCAGCACCCGGGTTGGGTATGAACTCCTGATGGTGTTGTTTCTGCTTTCGCTCCTGCTGGTCCTTCCGCTTACCCTGCACCTCGTACTGCTGCAGCCACTGGTTGTTTCCGCAGTGCACTATGCCTTCACTGAATATCATGACATCGGAATCTGGATATGCTACTGTATCTTTTTTCTTTGTCAGGGCGGTAGTGATCACGGTGACGGCATCTTTAAAGTCCGGTCGTCCTCCTCTGCGGATTGTGTATCCAGCCTGTCTGGAAGCAGATTGTGTGGACCTCGGTAACGAAAAAGGTTTGCTGAGCCCCGCAATGCCCGCACCCCCGTAGTCCCTCACAGCTGCCCACGGCCGTCGCCCTGATGCCATGGCGCGGCCGAAGGCGTCGAGCCAGCCCGCAGGGCGCGGGGCGCGTGCGGGCGAGTGCGGGGACGGCAGTCCCCCGGCGAGGGGGACCGCGTGGTGGGCCCCCGATGGCCTCCGTTGTCCTCCTCCTCCTCCTCCTCCTCCTCCTCCTTCTACTCATCCTCCTCCTCCTCCTCTTCCTTTCTCCTCTTCCTTTCTCCTTTCCTCCTCCGCCTCCTCGAGCGCGATGATGCGAATGTTACCGCGTGCGAGTCCGCTGCGGCGGCTTCTTCGGTCCCCGCGCATCCCCCTCCTCCACATTCGGCTGCGGATAAGTTTAACCCTACTCACCAGCTCAGCGAATATGGTTTTGAATGTACCACTTGTTATAGCAGTGGCACTAAGCTCACCCTGCATGAGTGGCTTAATTCACCCTGACTTGCGTTGGAGCACGTTGGTGCCAAAATCTCGCGAGGGCAGAACGGGCGAGAGTTGCCTTTAGCTGCGGGGTGCGCTCACGAATCCAGTGCTATGCTTTGTAACCTGCACTCGAGGTCTGGATTTGTGGGGTTTGAGTTTGTCTTCGCGGCCAACCTACAAGCGGATCCCAGGAAGGAGTGTCTTGGTTCTCAGTCCCTCAATGCTACCATGCGGTCGTAACTAGATAGGTTTACTGGGAGGATTGTACCGAAGGCTCTGAGTGCTGTCGGACGGTCTGCAAGTCAGCATTATATTTCAAGGGTAGTTCTTTTTCATTGGCACCATCATGTAGCTATTCCTTCTCCTTTTGCGAAGTCCTGCCAGCGCCGCTGACCCTGAATGGGGACGACGACAACGACGGCGGCGGCGGCGGCGACAACGACGACGACGCTGACGTGGGTCAGAGTCCTCAGGGGTGCTTCTTAGGGTCTCTTCGGAGCGCTCTCGGGGGCCCCTGGGGGGCGGGCGGTTTGGGGACCTCTTGGGAGCCACTTGGCGGCCTCTCAGAAGCCTTTTGGGGGCCTCTTGGGGCTTTTTGGGGGCCACTTGGGGCCTCGGAAGCCTCTTGAGGCCCAGACGCCGAGAATACAAACAAGTCTTCCGTCTGGTTTTGTCACGACGGGAGAGGGCCTTGGATCGGGGGTCCAACTCAACCCATGGACCTGTCCAGAGGTTCGTTCAGAGCAGACTTTCGACGTGGATCCAGCCGTGGCGACGAGGAGCCTACCCGAAGCCGAAAACAGTGAGGACAAAAACACGCCCACCAACCTGGATCCTCGAAGCTATATCCAAGGTCTGGTTCGATTCTCGATGCTCGTCCTGCTCCACGGGCAGCCACATGCGAACCCTGAGGCTCAGAATCCGAACGATGCCTGCAGCCAGGTGAACCCCAGCCGGGGTGCCCGATACCCCAGCGCATTAATTGGACCCGCAGAGGGGCAGGGCCCGCAAGGGCCTCCCGGAGGAGGGCTGGGCAGCCGCGGGGGGCGGGCCCCGAAAAGAACAGCCCAGGAGGCCGGCGCCACCAGCACCGACGCCGGCGGCGAAGCAGGGCGTCTACAGGTGCCTCATCTGCGGCAGCACCTTCGGTCAGGGAGGGGGTCTCGAAGAAGAGAGAACGGCATAAACGTAAATTGTCGGAGCTCCGCGCGGATTTCTTGGATCGGCGCTGGGCCCCCCGGCGGTGCCTCTGGCGCCGCCCCTGGCGCGCTCCGTGCGCCAGGGACGGGGTTTCAGCGCAGATCCGAGAAATCCGCGCGAGCCTCAGCGTTTTTATGTTGATGTCATTGTTTCTTCCCCTAGGGTGGGACTGCGAGGATTGAGCTTCGATTTTTCAGGATTAAACTTTCTCTCTTTGTAAGCCTGTCTGTGAGGGTTCTACGTATATTGTCCATAACGCTTGGTGATGGAGGCCTGGCCACCGAAGTCGGTGGTCCGTCGTGGTCCCCTATCGTGAAGTGTGTAAAGCTGCTCAGGGTCTTCTGACGCAAGGGTGTTATTTCCCCCAGCCCTCCAGCGCACGGTTCTCGTGTCTGATTGAGCATGGCTGCCGCTTTCCTCCTTCTCCCGCTTCCTCCACTCTTCCTTCTCCTGCTTCCTGCCTCCTAATTTGGGGGGGGGCTGCGAACTGCGAAGGTCCGCGCGGATTTCTTGGGTCAGCGCTGGATCCACCTGGCGGCACCTCTGGCGCCGCCCCTGGCCCCTGGCGCGCATCGCGCGCCAGAGAGGGTGGCCCAGCGCCGGCCCACGACATCCGCGCGGACCTCCGAAAGTTTATGTTTATGCCGTTGTTTGAGGCAGTTCGAGAGTAGGGCCGATCGGGACAGGCGACGGTGCCCTCCCGAGGAACAGGGCGAGAGGGCATCGTCGGGGAACCGCGTCCTTCCCCTCCTCCTCCTCCTCCTTCTTACTCCAGCGTCTTCTTATTATAGCCTCCCTTCTCCTCCTCCACCTCCTCCCCGTCTCCTCTTTTTCCTCGAGGGGGGTCCTCCTTTTCTCCCTTCGTCTTCGAGGGTCGAGGGCTGACGCTTTGGGACCCTTCGGGGTCCAGAGGGACCTCCGGGGGCCTCTTGGACCTCTGCAGGGGTCTTCGCGGGGGGCCATCAGGCATCCTCGTGGAGCCGGGGCGCAGCTCACGGCTGCCTCCCGCCCGGCTGCACGGTAGAAGTCGGGACAAATTGCCGCAGGCGTGAGGGCGGGCACCCTTCGCGCCACTCCTGCAGCTAAATTCGCGGAGAAGTGGATTCGTAGGTCGACCCTGCCAAGTCCAGGGTACCCTTGTATCTTGTGCACGGCGTCTCATATCCTCTGCATTCATGTGACAATGTGGCCCTCGGAAGGGTCATGTGTCCTATCCCGTGTTATCTCCAATCGAACTCGACCGTAGCGCAGCTTTGCAGTCGTCATCCAATCGCCCGTCGTCCACCTCACATCATCATCATCATCATCATCATCATCATCATCATCATCATCATCATCATCATCAACATCATCATCATCATCATCATCATCATCATCATCATCATCTTCATCATCATCATCATCATCATCATCATCATCATCATCATCATCATCATCATTTATATCATCACCATCATCACCATCATCGTCATAACCAACATCATCATCATCATCATGAACATCATCATCAGCATCAGCCCCAGCATCATCCTCATCATCATCGTCGTCAGCATTATCATCATCAGTTTCATCGCCATAACCATCGCCATCGCCAGTCTCAGCATTACCATCATCGTCGTCATCATCATCGGCATCGTCATCGACACCGTCATCATCATCAGCAGCATCAGCATCGTGATCGTCATTGTCATCTTCAGCATCAGGATCAGCATCCGCAGCATCATCATGACAATCGCCGTGCACATCACCATGAACGTCATCATGAACGTTAACATCATCATCATCAGCATCATCATCGTTACCGTTATCGTCACCGTCACCATCATCAGCATCAGCATCATCATCATCCTTATCGTCATTGCCATCGCCATCCTCAGCATCAGCATCATCATCGTCATCGCCATCGCGCCATCATCATCGTCATCATCATGAACATCAGCATAAACGTTGTCATGAATATCATCATGAACGTCATCGTGACCATCATCATGGAGATCATCATGAACGTCATCATCATCAGCAGCATCATCATGGCCAACGTTAACACTAGCATTATTACACTCATCGTTATCGTTGTCGCCATCGCAACCATCATCAATATCATCATCAGCATCAGCATCAACTTCGTCAGCATTATCGTTATCGTCATCGCCATCGCCATCCTCAGCATCGGCATCATCATTACCATCATGATCATCATCATTCATGTCATAATCATTATCATCGTCATTTGCATCATCATCATCATCATCATCATCATCATCATCATCATCATCATCATCATCATCATCATAATCATCATCATCATCGTCGCCATCATCATTATCATAGTCATGCTTGTCATCCTTGTGGCCATCGCCATCATCATGATCATCTTCATTAGCATCATCACCGTCATCGTCATCGTCATCATCGGCGTTATCTCCATCGTCATCTTCATACTCACCATCACCAGCATCAGCATTTGCATCACCATCAGATCATCATAATCATCATCATTGTTATCGTCATCGCCATCGCCATCCTCAGCATCCGCATCAGCGTCATTATCATGATCATCAGCATGACCATCAGCATGGACAATACCGTCAGCATCATCAGCAGCATCATCATTAGCATCATCAGCATCAGCATGCTTATCGATATCGTTTTCGTCATCGCATGTCATCGTCACCATCGTCATCATCATCAGCATTAGCACCAGCATCACCGTCGTCATCGTCATCGCCATCACCACCCTCAGCATCAGCATCATCACTATCGCCTTCATCGTCATGAACAGCATCGCGACCGTCACCATGGCGATCATCACCATCATCACCACCGTTATATCATCATTAGAAAGAGCGTGTTCTACCGCTGCTGGCGGAAAACCGGGGGGGGGTCACTACCGGTTCGAACCCCTCCCCCCCCCCCCTCCCCCCTCCGGAAAACCCGGGGGGGTCACTACCGGTTCGAACCCCCCCCCCCCCCCAGCTCATCATGAAAAGGGGGGGGGGGTCACTACCGGTTCGAACCCCTCCCCCCCCCCCCCTCGAAAACCCAGTGGGGTGGGGACGGTGTTGGTGGGACAGTGGTGAGGGGACAGCGGGACAGTGGTGGGGACAGTGGGACAGTGGGACAGTAGAGGGCCGGTAGTGGTGGGGACAGTGGTGAGGACAATGGTGGGAACAGGGGGGACAGTGGACAGTGGTGGGGACGGCGGTGGTGGTGACAGTGGTGTGGGCACAGTGGGAATGAGGTGGAAACAATGGGACAGTGGAGGGTACAATGGTGGTGGGGACAGTGGTGAAGGCGGTGGCGAGGACGGCGGTGGGACAATGGGACAGAGGTACAGTGGGGACAGTGGTGGGGACAGTGGGGACAGTGGTGGGAACAGTGGGACAGCTCAGTGGGACAGCGGCGGAGTCGGGGGACAGTGGGGATAGTCGGGCAGTGGTTGGGGCCGTGGAGACAGTGGGGAGAGTGGAACCGTGGTGGGAGTGGGGCAGTGGGGACAGTGCAGTGGTGGGGACTGGTGGGGACAGTCAGTGGTGGGACTGGTGCTGGGAACAACAGTGGGGACGGACGGTGGTAGGGACCGGGAGTCGTTTGCTGGCGGTGAGTGGGGGGGTGGGAGGGGTTCGAACCGGTAGTGATCCCCCTCCGGTTTTCGAGGGGGGGGGGGGGTGGGGGTCGAACCGGTAGTGACCCCCCCCGGTTTTCCGGATCCGGAGGGGGGGGGGGGGGGGGGGTTCGAACCGGTAGTGACCCCCCCCGGCTTTCGAGGGGGGGGGGGGGGGGGGGGAGGGGTTAGGGGGGGGGGGTTTTGCCGGGGGAGAGGGGGGGAGGGTTCCAGCAGAGGGGGGGGGGATTTTCGGAGGGGGGGGGGGCGACCCCCGGGTTCCGGAGGAAAAAGTTGGCAATTTTCCACAGTAAAGCGGCGGTGGATCACGCTCTCTCCATCATTATGATCGTTATCTTCTTCGACATGGTCAGTGTCATAGTTATCGTCATCTTCATCGTCATCACACTCACCATTATCATCAGCAGCATCATCATCATCTTTATCGCCATCGCTACTTCCAGCCTTCGCATGAGAACCAGTACCACCATGAACTTCAGCATGAACTCATGAGCGTCACCATCACCATCATCATCATTATCATCATCATCGTCATTAGCATCATCACACCCATCGTTCTCGCCATCGGCATCGTCACCTTTATCATCAGAATCAGCAGCATCATCTTCGTTATCGTCATCGCCATCGCCGTCCTCAGCATCCGCATCAGCATTATCACCATCATGATGCACATGTTCATGCACATCATCATGCACATTTTCATGAATGTCATCATCATCCGATTCAGCGTCGTCGTCGTCATCGTCATCAGCATCGTCATCACCATCATCATTACCATCGTCGTCGCCGTGATCATCATTTCATCATCATCAGCTTCATCACCACCATCGCTATCGTCAGCGTCATCGTCATCGTCATTGTCATCACCATGATCATTATCGTCATCGTTATCGTTGTCGTCGCCGTCATCGTTCTCGCCACCGTCATCGTCATCGTCGTCATCAGCATCACCACCATCAGCAATCCCATCAGCATCAGCGCTTGTATCATCATAGTTGTCGTCATCACCACCGTCATCCTCAGCATCAGCATCATCATGGTCATCATTGACATCGCCATAAAAGTTATCACCATATTCCTCACGCTATCGCCAACGCCATCATCATCATCATAATCATATGTTCCATCGTCATCATCACCTTCATCGTTGTCATCATTGTCAGCCTCATTACCTTCATCAGCATCATCGAAGCCATCATCAGCATCACAGCCACCTCACCATCAGCATCATCATCGTTATCCTCATTGTTATCATTATCGTCATCGCCATCATCATCGTCAGCGCCAGCATCGTCATCATCACCGTCATCACCACTGTCATCA